GTCTCCATGACGTCAACTCCCCTGTAGCAGGGAGAACCCATCTCCAGCACGTCACCATTTAATTCCACAGCATTTCTGACACCCCTGCCCCCAACGGCTTACGCTCTCTGATGCCTGGCAGACATGGGCCTGGGCCAGTTCTGTGGCGACGGTCTTTAGGTGGGGCTGCAGAGCTTCTGGAGGGCAGCCCTGGAGGACTGCGGCCAGGACCAGCAGGCTGGAGGCGGAGGGCGACTTTTTCAGTGGTGACAGGATTAACTTCAGAAAGACTTCCGGGCTGACGAAGGTTCCGACGAGCTGTGCAGACCTGGTGCACTGTGAGAAGAAGGGGGGACAGCTGAGGGTGGCTGTCAGAGTGCCAGTGGCCTCCAGCCGCCATGGCACAGCATGCTTCTCCCCTCTCTACACCTGGCTTCCTGTCTTCCAGCCCATAACCCCTGCCAGAAACAGTCTAAACTAAGCCCCAAATACGCACAGAAGCACACAGTCCTGACACTATCAGCCCCTTCACAAGAAGACAGTTAATAAACAAGATGTCATGTGAATGGCCGAGTGGGCAAGTGAGCTCGCACCTGAACCATTTCCCACCTTACCCCCTTGTCTGATACCAGCACCCCAAACCTTCTCTTAGTACCTGTGACATGAGTAACAACCAGTGGCTCAGTGGTCCAGGGTTAGGGCAGGGCTCGTTCCAACAGCAGCCGCAGTGGCTGCTGGGGACTAGCCCAGGCCCACTGGTACCGCTGACTGTGGAGTTTCCCAGAATAGCAGTTTCGGTCAGTTTCCAGTGAAATACTCCAAAAAATCTGATAGCAACTATGGGTTGTTTCCCCAGAAAACTCTGAACACCCACATTTGCACATCATTTCAGGGGGCTCACGTGTGCCCTGATGCCCATCTGGGGACCTCACATTAGGGACTGTTACTGCGTGTAACAGACGAAATCCTCTGTGGGCCATGTCACAGGCATTTAAGAAACACCTGCTCACCAAAAATGACCGTGTGTGTCCAAAGCATGCAAATTTCCACGACACCAGTTAGCGTGCGAGGACGTTTGATGGATGCATGTCACCACTTAATTCTCTCATCCTCGTAACAGAAGACGGGATCTAAGACCTAAAACCACTGTGTGGCTCGAAGCTTTTCCATGAGGAAAACAGAAGGTCTCAAGTTTCATGTAAGACAATAATGGTTTTTAAAAAAACTTGTAGAAAGAATGGTTAAGACAGGATTAAAGCCGTCTTTCCTCAAGTGGTAGTGCATAGCAATTTGTAGTTAGTGATAGTTTTCGAAAAATAAGAACTCATGATACTGTAAAAACAGGTTTAAAAGGAATGGTTTTAAAGTCCAGCAATTTGTATTTGGGGGTAATTTTGAAACATTTGCTCCATGTCAGTAATGATGGCTGAGATAAAACTAAATTACTTAGCAAGGGCTCAGTGTGCCAGAACTGAAGATGTAGGATGAAAATCATCTTTGAGCCTAAAACCTCGGTATTCATGCCGAGGTTTACAGTTGTCCATCAGAGTGCCAGAGCCGACATGGTGCCAGCATGTGTTCCTGGTCAGGTGAGCATGAGTGTTGGTGTCTCCCATGAATTATCATGGTGGGTGTGAGCGTGAGTGTCCTCTGTTCAGTCTTGGTGGGTGTGAGGGTGTCCTCCACGCACTCATGCTGCATGCAAGCATGCCTCACACAGTATCATGGGGGGTGTCCTTTGGGCACTATCATGCTACATGTGTGTGGCCCACACACTATCATGGTGTCCTCCAAGCACTATCACACTACATATGAGTGTGCTTGGCTCACTCATGCTCCAAGTGTGTCCCGTGCACTGTCACGGTGGGTGTGAGCGGGAGTGTCCTCTGCGTGCCGTCACGGTGGGTGTCAGTGTGCTCCGTGCACTGTCACGGTGGGTGTGAGCGGGAGTGTGCTCTGTGCGCCGTCACGGTGGGTGTGAGCGGGAGTGTCCTCTGTGCGCCGTCACGGTGGGTGTCAGTGTGCTCCGTGCGCTGTCATGGTGGGTGTGAGCGGAAGTGTCCTCCGTGCGCCGTCACGGTGGGTGTCAGTGTGCTCCGTGAGCTGTCACGGTGGGTGTGAGCGGGAGGGTGCTCTGTGCGCTGTCACGGTGGGTGTCAGTGTGCTCTGTGAGCTGTCACGGTGGGTGTGAGCGGGAGTGTGCTCCGTGCGCTGTCACGGTGGGTGTGAGCGGGAGTGTGCTCTGTGCGCTGTCACGGTGGGTGTCAGTGTCCTCCGTGCGCTGTCACGGTGGGTGTCAGTGTGCTCCGTGCGCTGTCACGGT